CGCAGTTGGCAGAGCGAGTTCTACTACGTGCGTGTTTATGTATGTGTGCCTAAAAAAAGTGTAGAGTGAGTAGACTATCAGATTGGAGGGTCAAGGGTATCTCCTAGTCTCGACTAGAGTTTTCTTACTTGTTATTATTAGTATATTTATCTTATATGTATATATGTACATTTATCTGAAATTTTCATATTTGTATGGAAGAATAGGTAGACAGATATTTTTCGCGCTGAAAATTTTTTCGATTTCAAAAACACGTTTACTTATTTTACAGGAATTTTCAGTTCTTCATATTTCTGGGGTTATCTAAGTGATGCCATTGGACGTAAGCCAGTTCTAATATATACGACATTGTGCGGAAATTTATTGTCCCTAATATCAATCATTATTCCGAATTTCTGGATTTATGTGGTGGCACGATTTTTGGTTGGATTCTTGTAAGTATATAGCTATTTTCACAAACGATTAGTTCGTTTCGATTTTTAATTATATATAGAAGAGTATGTAAGCATATTTGTAGTCCGTATATGTGTATGTATGTATATGTAGTATATATGTTGTTTTGCCTTCGCTATTCGTATACTTTGATTCACAGTATAGCAGGTGCTTCTTCCACGACATACGCATATCTTGGGGAGTTTTTCATACCGCGTCATCGACCGATAGTTATAAACTATGCAAGCTTATTTGTCGGCATTTCTACAATTTATGTGCCAGGTAAAGATTTGACAAATTTGGAAATAATCAGTTAAACTGTATTTTATATTAAAGCGATTGCGTGGTTTGTTATGGGTATGGATTGGAGTCTGGATGTGACTGAAAGCTTTACGTTCCGTCCCTGGCGTTTGCTTACAGTATTTTATTTTGTTCCTGGACTGATCGGAACAATAATGCTGATTAAAATGCCAGAAAGCCCAAAGATTTTGCTATCTATGGGTAGAACCGATGAGGCGTACGCCGCCGTAGAGTGGATCGCCTTAAAAAATATTGGCAAACATCTCCATGATCTGAAAGTTGAGGCACTCAAATGTGATGCATTTGCAGACAGAGAAAGCATACTTAGTGTATCCAAATCACCGTGAGTCTTAAAGTCAAAAATATGTTTTCATGGTTATAGTTTATTGTTTTCATTCTCTAGGACGGTGAGCTTCAGAAAAATGTGGGCACAAACTGCACCATTGCTTAAAAGGCCACATTTGAAGAACTTCTGCATAAGCTGCATAGTTATGTGTGGTCTTTTTTTCAGGTGGGCGATGACTTGAACGGACTTCAGTTCTTACAGTTGCATTTTGTTTTCAGCTCGTCGGGCATGGGCTTGTGGTATCCAGAAATACTCAATCGCTTGGGATCATCCGTTTCTGAAGACGCAATGACCGTTTGTGATGTGATCGAGGCTTCAGTTGATCAGTGGCAAGTTAACATAACGACAGATGTATGAACATGAGTAACATTGAGTTGAGCAACTTGAAGAGCGTTTAATTTTTTACAGATTTGCAATGATCAAATCAATACAAAGAGCTATATCGACACGATTACATACGGATCAGCTTTAATTACAGGCTATATTGTAATGGGCTTTGTTATCAATCAAATCGGGCGTAAGGCATCCATCACAGTGGGCTTAGCCATAGCTGCTGGGTGCGCTTTGTCGTTAGTATGGATAAAAAATGAAGCAGTCATTATAGTCTGCTTTTGCTTGTACCTGGTACTACCGGGCCTGTGTGTATCAGTACTAAGCGGAGTCGTGGTGGATCTCGTCCCTACGAATCTGAGAGGCAAGGCAGTTTGCATCTGTCTCATGCTGGGGCGTACGGGCAGTGTGTTTGGCAGCAACATCATTGGGATACTTCTCGAATCGTACTGCCACATTACATTTGGATTATTTTCTGGATTTGTTTTGTGTGAGTTCAAGCAAACAATTAAATCATGCATAAGTGTTGAATTCATGCCCAAATGTTGAATATTTAACAGTATCAGTTCAGGAATTTCCATGAAAAGTAAAAGCGTTTGGTAAAAATATTTAAGATTTTATATCGAGGCTGAGATAATCAGTAAAGCACAATATCAACAACAAGAGCACTGCTGCTCTTGGCTTAGACGCACTGGTACTTTTGTTAATATTATTATTATGGGGTCTGCGATGATTCCTTCTGCCTGTTACATACTTTTTACAAAGCCATTATACCCTGATTTCGCATTTTCAATGGGTGCAGGGTATAAAAAGTGGATATACAAAAAAGTTCGAAAAAAAGAAAAATTGTAATAATACAAAATATATAAAACTAATTCATATTTTTTAAAAAATGAACTTAATTTTACTTTTAGTTTTTATAAATATTTAAATAAGTATACAAAAATAATTTCAATAATGAAAGCTGCTTCCTTTCTTCGAAATAACTTCAGAGATCCGGTCTTTCAAAAATTGATACGAGTTTATGCATGCCAATTTTTAAATAAAAGAGTTTTTATTACAAAAATTATGGGTGCGTCTAACCTAAGACCAGCAATGTATATATATGTATATGAATATGAAACTGCTGGGCTACATACGCATGTAAACGTATGCATGAGGCATGGGGTTAGCCTATTTCAGGCTATATCTAGTCTATTTGATCTAGCTTATTAATAACTAGCTGGCCCGGCAAACGTTGCATTGCCCTATCCATTATTCTAGATTAAGGCCACAAATAGACAAAGATTGGCCCTGTGATTTGTTGATCGTCATGGCGAAGGCAAGGGGAATCGGGAACTGAATTCGTTTAAACTCAAAGGGCATATCTGTTGGGATCATCGGAATCCTAGGAATAAGAACTT